GGCCTGTCCTATGCTCAAATCTGATTTTGTGTCCCTCAGTAAGATCCTACGGTTCTTTTATCTAGATTCTTTAACATTTTGTTAAGTTTTGAATATTGTGCATGGTAAGTGGTATATCTTACCCTCTCCATTTCTAACCTATTGCTAGTATTTTTAAAAACCTATCAGTTTGTAAGTGTATTACATATGATTACTTTATATATTCTCTTTATAATCCTAGTAATTTTTTACCAGCATTTCATGGGGTTGTGAGATCAGTAAAATTATAGATCAATTATACTTTCCTAATATTATAAAATTATTTTCTATCCTTATCTATTACATGAGAAAGAACATCTAAAAATACCAAATCTCACTGTTAGGAGTCAGCATCTATTTCCTGTGGCTGATTTTTAAAGAAATTGCTCCAGAAATTTGCCATTCAGTATATTTGCTGTAAAATATTGGTAAATGTCTTTGTCACTCAATAGCTTCTTTCCTTTCCTAATTTATTAGAAATTTTATTAGGAAAGGTTACTAAGTGTTATCAAATGTCTTTGTGGCATTTTTCATATAATCTTACTTTTCTTCTTTAACTTGCATTGCAAAAAATTAATGTTTTGTTCTAATTCAGACTCAATTTTTAATACTTGACAATGAGATTGCCCTAGGACCAGAAAGTGACCAAATGCCATTCAGAACAGAGAAGGGTGATCAGACAGAACAGATCTGAAGGATACCACATAATGACTCTCTTGGTTCTGATTAATATTTTGGGCTCTGAACTTTGCTTTTTCTGATATGAAAGTTGCCACTTCTCCTTTAATTTGTTTGCATTTTCCCAGTAGCATTGTCTAACCATTTATTTTTTCAAGCATTGTTTGTCACCATGTTTTAGAAGAGTTTCTTGAAATACAATATATTTGAACCTGACTTTTTACCCCATCTGGAAATTTCTGCCTTCTGAATTCATTCACATTCAGTGAAGTGAACAATATACTTAATTATATGCCTTCTGTCTTATATACTTTCTCTTTTTCCTTCTTACTTTTGCTGAAATTCACCATTTTTTCCTCCCTGTCAGTTTTTCCTGTTCCTATTTCCTCTCTCTCATTCCTCCCTGTTCATTTTTTTCCCCGTCAATTTAGAAGTCCTACTATGCAGCTGGGCACGGTGGCTCACACCTGTAATCCCAGCACTTTGGGAGGCTGTGGCGGGTGGAACACCTGAGGTCAGAAGTTCAAGATCAGCTTGGGTAACATGGTGAAACCCCACCTCTACTAAAAATACAAACATTTGCCAGGCATAGTGATGCATGCCTGTAATCCCAGCTACTCAGGAGGCTGAGACATGAGAATCGCTTGAACTGGAGAGGCAGAGGTTGCAGTGAGCCGAGATCGAACCACTGAACTCCAGCCTCAGCAACAGAGTGAGCCTATGTCGCAAAAAAAAAAAAAAAAAGGAAGTTCCACTATGCTGTAAAGTTCTGCTCATGGTTACCTATTTCTCTGAGTCATCTTTAAATATATACAGATACACACATATATATGCTATCAAAAAATAATTTTATAATACGTGTATTTTATATGTATATGTGTGCCTGTGTGTGTGCGTGTGTGTGTGTACATGCATACATAAAACGTGCAACCATGCACCAAATATCTTTCCCTGCTCATACCTCCACTGACGCCAGGCAGGATAGAAGTTTTAGTTCTAGGTTATTAATAAATTTTTCTTTCAAGGATAACTCTTCTCTTTAAAGAATCCCTACTTAGCATTTATATTACAAAGTCCTAGTCTCACCATTACTATCTATTTAATTTTAATAATACATATATTGCAAGATTCATTGCTCCCATTATTCTCCTTTTTCTCTTTCCCTGTCTTGGGATTTCTGTTCTGAATCAATTGTCATTTGATAGAGTATTTCCTCAAGTGTTTTCCTCAGATAAGTACATGGGCAGAATACTTTTTAATGCCTGCACTTCTGATAATGTTTATTTTGCCCTGACAAATGAATGATATCTTTTCTGGTTATTAATTTTTGGACATCGGTCTTTTTCCCTCAGGATTCTACAAATGTTGTTCTAGTGTTTTAATTTCTAGCATTGCTGATATGAAAAAAAAGTCTGAAGCTAATTGATTCTTTTTCCATTGCAAATAAATGTTCTCTGGGTCTCAAAACTTTAAGATTCGTCCTTATCCTTTGACTTCAGGGATTTCACCAACCTGTATTTCCATTTGTGTTCTGACATGAATCCTGCCTGGAACTCAGGAAGTCTATTCCTTCTCCATTTTCTTTGCTCTTCTACCTCCAGACTTCTTTTGACTTCATGTTATGACATCTGGATCTGCCTTCTGAATTTATTTACCACCTCTAGGTAATTCTGCACTATGTTGCAGGGGGTATTTCTTGAGCTTTCAGATTTGACTCCAGAAATACTTTAATCTCACTCTTCATCCATTTGATTTTTTTCAATCAAATATCAAATTCGTTTGTTCAGTTACAGAAGGGTTATTTTTGTTTCTTTTCTTCTAGATCACATGATTGTATCTCCTTCAAAGTTTTCTCTGCCTTTTTTTAACCAAGTCTTCTCTAGTCTTTTTCCAACATGGTGAGAGTAGAAACAATGATTTTGGTGTCTGGCTTGCTCTTCTTCCCTTGAAGTACTGAGTCTCCTTCAGTGAGTAATTGCTTTTTCCTTCCTGCTAATGGCTTACATTCCCTCAGCATCTACACATTCCAGGTCACAGTGGTCTCTGCAGCACTGGCAAGCCAGTGAGAAACGGAACAAATATGATTTCCTGCTCTTGAGGTCAGGCCATGAGCAGCCGCAAATAATGGCTTCTTTGCTAAGGTGGAGTAAAGAAGCCTCTCTGCTGCCAGACCTCCACAGAAGCAAGCTTACATCCTAACTACAGCAATGGAGCAAATCAGCTCACCTACACAGCGTTCTTCCAGATTGCTGGTTAAATCACAAAGGTCCTATGAGAACCACATAAAACAGGCAGGCAGACATGGCCCTTCTTTGAGGGAATCACTGGATTCTGTCAACTACAGCCTTTGAGGAACCACACAATGCTGGTCTTTCAGCCAAGCAATGAGAATAAACAAGCTGACCTCTGCCTCTTGTCTCTCAGTTCCTTCTTGTTTCCAAGGTGAATGAAGTCCCGTAAAAAGCCCTTCCCTCAGATATTCTGGCCTAAGATACCCCCTCCAGCCTTTACCAACTGGCCTGCTCAGGCTACTATATATAATCTGCCAAAATAAAAATTGAAAAGGAGAAAAGTCAGGGATGTGTGATTGAGCTGCCATCTATTCAGAATTCCTCATCTTTTTACCTTAAAACAACCTTCTTGCAAGCCTTTGAGCTATAATAAATGCTTTCTAGTATTTCTTCTCATTAACTAAAGCCTAAATAAATTTAGTTAACTATTTCAATTGTTTTCCCATATTTTTGTAAAAAAAAAAAAAAAAAAAGCAAAACACTCGGGAATACAGTAATTCAGTTTACAAACAACACTAAGCACAACTCGGCCTATATAGACCTCTTACAATAACTGTCAAATCAACAGGTTGGGAATCTGTTGCTCCATATGAATGGTCTGCCCTGCTTAAACGTGCCCACTCAACTCTAGGCTAAAAACTGGTCATGAACCTCTAAGTCCACTCACTTGCATAGTCCTTTATGCCCTCTGCCACCAAAGCTGTTCCTCCTCCATCTGTCTCAGCTCTACTCTTCCTTCCTCTTGCTACAGGGTCATCCCAACTAAAGTAGGCTCAGCCCATAAAACTGTCTCCTTTCACTGCTTTTCTTTTGCTTACAACATTTAAAGCTTCATGAAATTATATTTCATGTATATGTTTGTATTCTGTCTCCACCACTAAACCACAAGCTCTGTGAGAAAATGTTGGTTTCTTTTTAAATAAAGAATGCCTATAGGTAGAATTACCTAATCTCTAGTTTGTCTCAGGACCCAACCTTGCCTTACATTCAACCAATTCACGAGTTATTTTACCTGCTTGGTCTTAGCAGGCATTTGTGTTTGTAACTCTTGCTCAGAGAATACCTAAGTCTCAACCCCAGAGTGACGCCTTCCCCAATCACCCCAGCCCTTAGTGGTGATCTTCCTGCCTCCCTGTTTGTGTCACCACCATCGATGTATCAACTAAGCTAGAAACCTGGGTGTCAGCCATGATTCATTCTTCTTCTCCTACAATTACTATGGGGTTCTAATTCTTTGTGCATATGTCAAGAGCCCAAACCAGTGCCTGATACAAATATAAATATTTGTTGAATGAAGGAATGAAACAAAAATGAAAAGTCTGTTTATATTCTGACCACACTCTTGCCTATGTCTTCTCCTGGGTTTAGATGTCCAGATACAGCACTCTTGACTGGCACAGCCTGAATTCACTTCTACGGTTTGTCCTCTGTTGAGTTCAGGGCCCTACACACCAACCTCAGAATCATCCTTAGGCTCTGCCTAGTCAGCCCTTTCCTTCAGGCCTAACTTCATTTGTTTACATTCTAATGTCTTGAGATTAACATACCCCTCCATTATTGACTGTTCACTTATAACCTGGCTGCTTGGCCTCTTGATGTCTTCTAAACCCCAGTATCTCAATGCCTGGGTTAAGATACTTAAAGTCTGCCTGAAAGTTCCGCAAAAATCACAACCTGATAAGATGATATGCAGGTTTATTGCAGTACAATAAATATATAATTAATGTTTTAGGGTTTTGAAACAAATATGTTCTGTGTGACCATATATAATGCCGATAAAATATACAAATGCTATTTCAATTACATCAAGTTTTACTTTGTGAAGTACCACAGTTTCATCAAAAAGTCTTCAGATTGCTATTCTATAATGTTTAGCCTCTACATTTGCTTTTGATCTAAAAATGCTTTTAAGGTGCCATTTTTAAAAGTGTTCTCATTGTGATTAAAAGCAGACTTTCTAAATCATCATTGCTCCTAAAGTTTGTGATACTAGATAAAGAATGAGATAAATACCTTTGTTATGTAGAAAACACAACAAGCTATCATGTGCTGTACACTTTGAAAACTCGCAGTATGTTTCTTCGAACAGACGATATTTGGTAGTCCTTGCAAAACCACTATACACTTTATCAAGATCTAAAAATTAGAATCACAGTGATTTTTGTTTTAAAATGTCATCTTACTCATTTCATTATAAAATGTTCCATTCAAATCATGTCAGCTTTAAGAAACAAAATTTTATTATCATCAATAATTATTAATAAATTGTTAGGAATAAAGGAAAGTACACTGAGATAAAGTTGGTACACTCCATTTTGAGATAAGTCTTTCATCTACAGTAACTTGAAAATTAGTGGACAGAATTAAAAAACACAAATAACCATAAAACAAAGCATATTTTGATAAGTATCATGAAAGGTATAGTCAGAATGTTACATGTATATGAGAAACTATCACACCCACGTATAGGAGAACCTTGAAAAACCAGATGAAAGATTATATGGCATAAATATTACACAGTGATTCCAGGTACTTAAAATTAAATAGTTTCCTTTAAAATTAAAACCAGACATTTGTATCTCAGGAAATCAATTAATATTGGTGCTTACTTCCTATTCTCCTTGTTTAATATTATATGATCCTAAATTTGATCAAGAGCTAGATGAATGAGTTTAGCTTTTCAAAAGTAGCTTTGAGATTTCATCAATCTATTCATCGTTTGGATTAACCCAAAGGACAAATTAATATATGAATGTTGGTTCTTTGGGGGCATATTAATTGCTTCAAGTTCTCATTCTAACAATATTATTACTGTTGCAGTATACTCGTCTCTAATACTTTTTAAATTTCTCCCCTCCCTAATCACCTTCTCCCACGCTGTGGGATCCCTTCCCAGTTGAATGTGGGTGGGGCTCTTGAATGTGATGAGCTCGTCAGTCTCATGCATATATTACCCTAGGTAAGGCTCCTCACAGCACACTGGAGGAGACTCTCCTATGGCCTTGAAAAAGCAAAGGGCCATGATGTGGAAAGGCCGTGTGTCAAGGAATTAGTAGTTGGCCTTTAGGTGCTAAGGACCTCCTATGTAAAACCTCAAGGAAATGAATTCTCTCAGTAACAGTGAACTCAGATAAAAGAAAAAAAAAAAAAAACAGTGAACTCAGAAAAGCGCCTCAAGCCTCAGACGAAATCACAACCATAGCCAACACTTTTCTGTTCAACCCCATAACACCCTAAGCAGAAGACCCAGCTAACCTGTATCCAACCTCTTAACCCACGGAAACTATGAGACAGTAAATGAATGTCCCTTCAAGTCACTAAATCCATGGTGATTTGTTAGAAACATGAAAAACTGTATAATCCCTTCAGCCAGATCTCAGCTACCCTTTTTCCATAAATCCTAACCCTCCATCACCAAGACACCAGGTATTTTTTCTTGGGTCCTCACCATATTTTTTCTCAGATGATGGATTTAACAATATGCCTTGAATAAATACTGCTGTTTCTGACATTATGAGAACATAAAATTTAAAATAACTTTAAAACTCTAGAAAAGTAGATTGCCAATATTTAAATATGGACAGGAACAGGGCCGAATATTTTCAGAGAAACCCACTTTATATCCTTATCTATGTTTGCCCAGACATATTATTAAAGTGTTTTTCAGTTAACTCCTAAATTTTCATAATACTTCTTCCTGACCTATTTGGCCTTTACAAGAGACATATGGCTTTTCTTTTCCAAAATGAATTGTTAAGTTGCCTTTCTAAAGATTGCATTTTTGGGGGGAGAGGAATATTCTTACCTGTACAACAGGTACCAAAACAATATTGTGATAGATTATGGGAGCAAGAAGGCCATAACACTGAGTCACAGCTTGAAGAGCATAGCTGGAATCATTTAGAGAGTTGCTAAGTTCCAATGCCACTAGTACTCTCTCACACTCAATCAGTCTGGCAATCTGTAAAGAAACAGGCACTGATATTCAGATTCAACATAGGTGCTTAGCTTATGTGTCTCTAAGGAGAAGAAAGGGTAGAAAATGTGATCTTTCTGGCTAAAAACAACATGAGTGTTTGTATTTTAAAAAACCTAATATAGAAACAACTCTAACTCTCCAATAATATATATAGATAGCATGGCCTTAGAATTAAACTTCAGAATTTTTAATAAAACAATACAAGTACCATAACAGAAAAGAAACCAGTTTTATTTATTGATAAGCTAAAAACTTGGCTATATTTTTATGTTAAAGAAACATCTAGTTTTTAAAAATATAAGCTATAATAATGAAAATATAAAATCTCTATAATACTGCCCCTATTTGATTAACAGAGTTTCATTTCCTTTTCTGATTTGGGAGAAAATGGTAAATTTTCAGCAAACCAAGCTAACCTCCTATTATACTTCTGTTAATTATACTTTTACTATTTAAACTAAAATGATAGTAAAATGTAAAGTTAAGACTTTGAGAATAAATGCCACTTAAAAAGAATAGTAATCCATTCTTACTCCTCTTTTCCCTTTCCTGGGGAAAGATTCCTTTTTTTTTTGAGACAGAGTCTCCCTTCGTTGCCAGGCGCCAAGCTGGAGTGCAGTGGCACGATCTCAGCTCACTGCAACCTCTGCCTTCTGGGTTCAAGCAATTTTCCTGCCTCAGCCTCCCAAATAGCTGGGACTACAGGTGCACGCCACCACGCCCAGCTAATTTTTGTATTTTTAGTAGAGACGGGGTTTCACCATGTTGGCCGGGATGTCAATCTCTTGACCTTGTGATCCACCCGCCTTGGCCTCCCAAAGTGCTGGGATTACAGGCGCGAGCCACCACACCCGGCTTAATATTTCATTTCACACACACACACACACACACACACACACACACAATCTCTCTCTCTCTCTAAAGATTATGTACAAAGAAACTGTCTGAGTGGTAACCAGAAATGTCCATATAGTCAGTTTTGACTAAAATAGTAGTCTAGCATTCTGAAATTCATTGAGGTACTTGAAATTGTTCTTTGTTTTCAGGTTGAAGATGCTGAAAGAAGAAACTGAAGGCAATGCAGTAGGAACATGGTGATAATGGTCGTGAGTACTTGGGCTCTACAGGACAGTGAACCTGTCTTGGGCAAAGAGTCATTTTTTTCACTTCTATATCCCCGGAAGCTGGCATAGTCTCATGTAACAAGTCTTGGTTAATTGTTTAATGGATGGGTAGGAAATAGCAGCTATACAAAAAAATAGATAGCTAAAGCCTCCATACTGAAGGAAGGAAAGAGAGAAAGAAAAGAACTTCAAGCAAGAATGAAAGAAACAATGTAGCATCATTACTAAATGCAAGAGCATTATAGAGTTGCAGATGTACACAGAGCAATGTTCATAACCACACTGAGAATCTATCAATAGGAGACAGGTTACATTCCTGCCTCCATAAAGACAATATTATAATTAAAAACAATGTGGCAGATTGATATATAGCAGCATGAAAATATGGGCAAGCTATATTATAAAAGTGCTAAAAAGGCAAGTTACAAAATAACAAGTAGATCAAATCCCATTTTCATAAATAATAATATCAGATTTGTCTAGGCATATGTTTTTAAATTACAGAAATTATATGAAAGCAAAATTGTTGTATTCTTAGTGGTAATAAGATTACAATGGGTTTTACTTTATACATTATATATCTTTGAATGTATGAAATACATAGTACTTTTGTACACAGGGGGAAAAAAGATAAATTGAAAAGAAGAGAAAAAAACCATGAATTCAGGCCTGTGAAACTTATATGAAATATCACATAAAGTCACATAATCATACAGTGTCCTTTCAGTCCATTCATCAGGCGAGCTATTCAATCACTCAAAATACATGACCTTAAAACATCAAGAAGAAAATATAGTGAATCTGACATGTTTTAATCACTCTAATTCACTTACTTGTTGAGATGGGAAAATCTCATTGCCTTTAATATTATCACAGAAAAGATTTTCTTCTTTAATTTTGATGTCACTTATTACAAAAATATTTCTGAGAAAAAGGTATAAGAGGATTGAAGAAGTCTCTGCCAAAATATCTGCATGTAATCTGCAATATAAAGCAAATGGCAGGTTTAAACATAAAATGATTTAGCAGGTCAACTGGTCTTTTTACATTGATTTGTTCTCAGTATCTACACCATGATCCCAAAAAAAAAGCAACAAAAATGTTTAGAATAGCTATTCTTGCAAAGACAAGTTCACAACTAAGAAAATTAAACTACTGAAATACGTCACAGATATATAAAATTAATTAGTGGCAATTTTTTGCTTCTAATACATAAAGTTATTTTTTTATCAAGATAACAAAATGCCTACAGATTTTCAGAGGGTTGAGAAACAGGCCCAATGTTTCAAATTAACACATTTCCTGAAAATGAGGGTCATTTACAGCAAACTCAGCCATAGTTAAAAAGAAAGCCTTGACAACGCTTAGATTATTTCTAATTATCTTTTCTAAATTGCAGTTGACAGAGCCAACCATTGGCCAGGCTGTGAAATCTGCAAAGCCTTTCTTGTGTCCAGTATTCCCTTCCTTGCCCTTAGCCTTATTTGGTGACAAACCCTCCCTCTTAAGCTTCGGGCTTATCTACTCTCTATACCCCATCCCTATAAAACAGGACAGGGGCTAATATCAGTAATATCAGTAATTCACACTGAAATATGATCCCTTTCACGACCATGTTACACTTTAAAATTATCTTTACCAGGAGGATTTTAGTTCTCCCACTCTCACAACTCATACTGAACCTGCTCTTGGTCTCATGATGGCCTTTGGCACCTTGACATGTGCAATGAGTCCAAGTTGTCACCTCCTGGCTCCATTTCCTTCTCTATCCAGCCCAGACTTTGATCAGTCTTTTCAATAATCATCTTTTTAGCAGGTTAGGTTCTGTCACCTCCTTATTTTGTACAATAATCAATTTGCCTGACCTTGCATACATGTCACTGTCCAATTTTTCTATCTCTGTGACAATGATCAATCACATACTTGCTGATTTGACTCACTCATGCTTTCTTTCATCCACACTAGCAATTGCAGAATGCCTACTAATGTACAAGACACTGTTCTAGACCCTTGGGTCTTTAGCCACAAGGAGCTGAGCTTCAGTACAAATTCATGTTCAATTACATCAACTGAGTCAGTACTGCATCTCAACAACACTTCCATTTATCCCTGATTTCTCCTTGTTCACATTTCCCATGAAAAAAATCATTCTAAATCCTTTGTTCTCTCCGCCCCATGAACTCTAATGTCCTCCAGGCTCTACCACCATAGTGTTATCATCACCTGCATTTCTTGCATCTTCGATCTCTCCCTCTCTACTGGCTCCCTTCCCTCCACACTCCACAATTCTTTCCTTCAGCCTGCCTCCCCACTAAGCTTCTGCCTGGTCTCCTCCTCTTTAGCACCAAACTTCACATGAGTGTCTTTGCTTGCTAGGATTTTTCATTTTCTTGTTTTCCTTAGCCAATTCCAAAATGGTTTCTGGCCTATCATGCTACAAAAAGTGGCTCTCCTGAATTCACCAATGGCCTCCTCATTGCCAACTCTTCTTCATTTGTATTCTACTCAGCCCTCTCTGTGGCATTCTACTGAGCAGCTCCTCTGCCTGACGTGGCACTGGCATTTAATATCGCTGGCCGTCCCTCTTTGGTGATACTTCCACTTTCCTTAGCAATGCACTTTCTTGGACTTTCATTTTCTGGACAGCTTCTTTACAATATTCTTTATTGGTTCCATCTTCTGCTTCTGCCCTCTAAATGTTAAGCCATGCCTAGAGTTCAACTCTGGCCTTCTATCTCTTCTGTTAAATAGTCGTTTCCTGGGAGATAATAATTCATTTTCAAGATCTTGATGATGAACTCAATGGACAATTTCTAAATCTGTATCTCTAGCCTTGATACTCTCCTGAGTGTTAGCACTAGATAAATAAACCTGCTGGCATCTCATATTCACAAAGCTGTCCTGCTGGAAAACTAAACTCAAAATATCCTCAATCAAATTAATTATCTTCCTCCAAGAACTTGTTCTACCTCTCATATCCCCTTAGCAAATGTCACAGACTTCCCAGTCGGTTAACACTAGAATTCCCAGTCACTTTTCACTTTCTTTCTTATCCCCACAAGTCACATAATATCTAAGTCCTATCTCTTCCTCCTCCAAAATGCCTCTCGAATCCATCCCCCCATAGCACGTAGCATCCCTGTACATAGAAAATGCTAAATCTGTATTTGTTTAATTGAATGGAATTATCAATGCCTTGCCTGAACCAATATTTGCATATTTGAGCTCGTTATCTTTGATTGAGGAATGAAGGGTTTTGTCTCCTTATTTTAAAACTTTCAGGCATTAATCAGGTGAGGGAGATTCTTGTTGCTTTTGAACTTGTTATTGAAACTGCCTGAAATTACCCTAATACTCATTTCTGGGCCTGCTTCAAAACTTTGTTCTTTTCAGGAAAATGACAGTAAAGACAAAGGATTGTAGTTTTATATGGCTTCTGCTAGTCTAATGGCAGTTGCCAGTGGTCTGATCCTGGGAGCCTCTTCTAGCAAAGGAAAAGCCTTCTTACCATAACAGTCAACCTGTCACACCATAACCTTAATCCCAATCTGACTATTCTCTGATACAAAAGCTCCTAATGTATATTTGTGTTTTATGATATAACTGATATTACTTTGGTTCGCAGTTGGTATTTTTATTTCATAACCTTTAACCTTATGCCTCCAGTGTTTTTGCTGACTCTAGGAAGAAAGTTTCTCAGCCAGGTGCAGTGGCTCATGCCTGTAATCCCAGTACTTTGGGAGGCTGAGGTGGGAGGATCACTTGAGGCCAGGAGTTAGAAACCAGCCTAGCCAACATGGCAAAACGCCATCTCTACTAAAAATACAAAAATTAGCAGGGCATGGTGGTGCGTGCCTGTAATCCCAGCTACTCAGGAGGCTAAGACAAGAGAATTGACTCAGCCCAGGAGGCAGACGTTGCAGTAAACCAAGATCACGCCACTGCACTCCAGCCTGGGTGACAGAGTGAGTGAATATTTAAAAAAAAAAAAAAAACCGAAAGAAAGTTTCTAACAAGCACATGAGACCTTGCAATGTATACTCTTATTATAATTCTTATTAGAAATCATTTTATATGACCTATGTGAACATGATATTGAAAATAATTCCAGGTTTCACATCCAGTATCTGTATTTTCAGTAAGCAAATTAATATTTTAAAAGAATATTGCTAATTACCTTCTCTGTGTAATAGTAATTATATTGCTTAAACAAATAACAGATTTTTCATCCTGAAGAGGGGAAGCAACAAAATAATCCCAAACTGGTGAGAAAACTTTCTTGGCCAACTCATAGTTACCAACTTGATAGGCAACCTACAACAAAAAGCACATCGGTTATGTAATACTTTTGTCTGTGAATGCATGCTTTAAACAAGAAGTCTTATAGTATACAATGTATGACAGCATCTTATACAGTGCAATCACACACTCATTTCAGACATAATTATTCATATTTGCTGTTCTGTTCTATAGTGCCATAGTCAGGTAATGGCCACTGACAAGGGAGACAGACGCATTTTTGAAATCTCTTTTATTTCTAAATTGCATGGAAATTTGAAACTCTGTAAGGATGTTTCAAATCCTCATAAGCAAAACAAAGATCACATCTGAGCCAAATTAATTTCATTTCCATCTATCTCGGCAGTGCACTCCATTTATTATAGATACTGTTATAATGAACAATCTGTTCCAAGAGAAACAATCAGATTTCCCAAACCCAATATATGAAAAAATACTTCATTCTTTTCTGGTTCTGACTGACACTTTCAGAGCTTTTGTGCAACAAAAAGTTCACAGCTGAAAATAATAAAGAGTAAAACAGAGAATCCTTCCAAGAAGGCTTGCTATGTTTAAAGTTTAACAAATTTAGCATTAGGCAAAATAAATGATTTCACTGGTGAAGCCTAGAAGCTCAAAAGAAAAAAACTGACTTACCTATTTTTTATGGTAGAATATGTTTCCTTAATGATGTTCCTAAAAGCATTCCATTTAATATGTAAGTAACAATACAAAATCTCACCAGATGAGCTCTGTACTGCTTCAAATCCTTTATGGAAGCAGCTAAGGTATAAAGTATAAATGCCCTCATGGAATGAAGTCAGTGAATGACACATTACTAGAATATTCTCCACTCCACAGACTCACTTAGAGGGCCAGAACTTTTCAAATCTGCCAATGAATACGATCATTCAACCAATAAGCTTCTATGAAGTTTCTAGTCTGTGTTAGGCACTGTGGAGATAGACTCTTCAAAGTTTAGATACAGACAGTGTCAGATTCTATGAAACTGGAATCAGGTTAAAGGCATAAAACCCATAACATCACAGAAAAACTACAAAGAATAATGTTATAATTGCAGAGGCTTTGGAAAAGTAGACACGAAGACTTCAAGGAAAAGGCAGGGCTTGAGTTGAGCCCTAAGACAGAGATAAGATTCCGATCGGCACAGTTAAGACAGAATCTGCAAAAGGTACAGAAATTGAAGTACATTTAGGAAAGACTAGAGAGACAGCTCAGAGTTTGAAAAAAGAAAAAAAGTAGACGTTTCATCCCTCCAAGGTCTGAGGGGGAATAGATGAAAAAGTAAAAGTGGGTAATATGATTGGACATGATTTCAGAAGGCCTTGAATCAGATGGAAGAATTTAAAGATGTCAAGTACTGGACTAAGCACTTGATGTGCATTACTGTATTTATTCTTCATCAAAGTTCTACAAAGTGAGCTGTATTGCCATCCCTATTTGTGAATGAGGAAACTAGAACCCTGAGAAGTAGAATAATTTGTACAGAGCCTGACAGTCAGTAAAAACAGTGAGGCCAAGTCTGAGAGTGGTAAATGAGTCACTTCTCTGGGCTACATTCATCCAACGACACAGCTGTACTAAGTGGTCACTGAAATACAAATATATATAATTAAAATATATAATTATTAAGATTTATCATGGAAAGCAATAACATAATGTGTAAGAGGGTTGGTGAAACTAGAATTAACTGTTCTTTTCTTATAAAATGTATCCTTTCTAAAATAATGTTATTTGTCCAATTCGCTAACACTGCAAAACAAGAAAAGATATTGTGATAAAACTAAGGTTTATAAAACCGTGAGATTTTATGAGGTTTTCTTAACAGAGAAGTGCAATGAGATAAGCATGTTCAAAAAGAGTTAACATGGTCCTGGTCGTGATGTGCAGAACAGATTTTAGAGGGACTGAATTAAAATGAGGAAGAAGCACAAAAAGACGAATGAAATAATGAAGTACAGTAGACACCTTCCTCTTGATGCCTGACCTTCACTTGGCTTCCAGGACTCCACACTTGGTTTTCCCTTTACGTCTTGTCCTCAATCTCTTTATATTGGTATGCCTGGGGGTTCACTCTTTGAACTGCTCCTCTTTTCTGTCTACCCTCATTTCTTGTGATACCATCCAGCTGCCTAGTTTCATCACATGACTACTCTCATATCCCTCTCCTGCCGACCTCTTCCCCAAACTCCAGATTCATACATCTGATTACTCAACAATTCTCTCCATATACGCTACATACCTTACCTCAGCATGCCTCGAACTGATCTCCCACTTGCCCCAAATCTCCACCACTCACAGCCTTCCCCAACTCGGTGATGTCAACTCTGTCCCTTCAATTGCTCAGCTAATACCTTAGAGTCATGTTTTATTTTTCTCTTTATGGACTCTTGTTAACTCCTCCTTCAGTACATGTCCGGATGCTAACCACTTCTCACCACATCAACCACTTCCACACTGGCCAAGCCACCTTCACCTCTCACTTGGTTACAGCAGTGGTTGGTGCTGTCACTCTACCCCCTTATGCTCTATTTCCAATGTAGCAGCCAGGGTGAACCTTTAAAAACAGGAGTCACATTACGTCACACCACTACTCCAAACTGTCCAATCGCTGTTCACTTCGCTCAAGTCAAAAGCCAAAGTCCCTGTAATGCCCTGGAAGTCTTTTCATGATCTGCTCCCCATCTACCCACTCACCTCTTAGCAGCTTGACCTATCCTTTTACTCTCCATGGGTCCCTGTGCTCCAGCCACACAAAGCTTCCTGCTGTCATCTATGAAGCATACCAGGTACACTCCTGAAAACCTTACGGTGCTTGCTCTAGCTGTTCCTTCTGTGAAGGCTCTTCCCCTAGAGAGCCATTCCTTCACCTCCTTCAAGTCTCTGCTTAAATCTCACCTTTCGTGATCACCCTATTTAATATTGCAATCTACATTCCATTCCCCTACTTCGTATTTCCAATTCGTTTTACACACTCCACTTGGTTTTTCCATAGCACACACTGTCTTCTGAAATACTAGATCATTTACTTGTTTACCGTGGTCACTGTTTATTACCCAGCTCCTACCATGGCATTTTGTTCATGTTGCTTACAATAGCAGTTCCAAAAGTGTGGTCCCTGGGCCATCAGCATCACCCAGGAACTTGTTAGAAATGCAAATTCCCAGCCCCAAATTCAGACCTAGTGAATCATAAACTCTGGCAGTGGGACCTAGCCATCTGCTTAACCAGCGCTCCAAGTCATTCCTATGTGCACTCAAGTTTTAGAGTCACTAACCTGGGGCAATGCCTGGCAGAGTATGCACTCAAATAATGTGTTGAATTAATTTAAAAATTCTCTTTTCCTGATAATTTCCCTCTACCCACAGAGAAGGACACCCAACAGTTGTACTAAACTATAGCATGGTTAATAGGGCCAGAGTGAGTGCCTGACTCATGCTGGGTGTTTTAGAACCTCTCCTGCAAAGCAAGACAGGCCCCCATCCAAAGTTTGGTTCTGATGTTAAGACTTATGACACTCCACACAGCAGGAGAATTTTAGAGAAAGTATACTGCTTACACCAGGGACTTCTGGGGAGAGCTTGGCAAGCACGAGTCTGTCTGAACTGGCTTGGGCAAAGCAGAAGGAGAAAGCAGGTTGGACTTTCCTAGGAGTTGAGAGATAGGACTGGGGAAAGTGCATGCTGGCTGGGAGGTTTAAATTTCCTGCTGCCACCAAATAAGAAGGTGAGCTCACAGGCCTTCTTATAGTCCTGCCCAGATGTGGGGCCAAAGGTTAAAAAGAAGGGTCAGGATTAAAAACAAGTTACAGCTGGGTACCATGTCTGACGCCTATAATTCCAGCACTTTGGGAGGCCAAGGTGGGCAGACCACCTAAAGTGAGGAGTTCAAGACCAGCCTGGCCAACATGATGAAACCCCACCTCTACTAAACATACAAAAATCAGCCGGCTGTGGTGGCGCACTCCTGTAATCCCAGCTACACAGAAGGCTGAGGCAGGAGAATCACTTGAACTCAGGAGGCAGAAGTTGCGGTGAGCTGAGATTGCACCACTGCACTCCAACCTGGAGTAAGACTGTCTCGAAGAAAGTAAATAAATAAAGACAAGTTACAAGTCAGTTGTCAAACATCAAAAATAAGATCAGTGGCATTCCAGCCTGGGTGACAGAGTGAGACCATCTCAAAAAAAAAAAAAAAAAAAAAAATCAGACACTTTATTATGCTGGGTGGGCCAGTCACATTCTCTTTCCCAGGAATTTGGAACCACAATTAGGAGCCAGTCAGCTATTCTCTGTTTATACCTGAAATTGAGGGATATATAAAAACTCAGGAACTGCCATCTTTCCTCCAAAGGTGGAGAAGTAACAAAAGCCAATCTTTAGAGAAAATACAAGAAAGCAGACATACCAGAAAGAACCAGAAGTATGAGACCTAGAGCTGCCTGGACTCTGCTGCATTGACAACGCCTAGCTGCATTACCCAAGCTAGGCTGGTTCCATGACTTACAAGCAGGGTCTTAACTGAAACCCTAAGTCACAATTAGCTAAACAAGCGCTAGTGTCATGGTAATGAGATTGATAAAAAGCATATTTTAAAGGATGAAGTGATGATATCTAGCATATAACCTGGCACAAGACAAACATTGACTAAATGATTCATCCATAAATAGATAAGTGGAAAGAGTGGTAATCTTCAGTTAGAGGATGAGGGGGAAAAGAAGAGTTAAAAAGAGCTTTAAAAATGGAGATGACTTCTTTACCTGAAACTCTTTTTTTTCTTTTTTGAGACTGGTACTCACTTTGTCACCCAGGCTAACACCTCCTGGGCCCAACCAATCCTCCCACCTCAGCCTCCCAAGTAACTGGGATTACAGGTGCATGCCACCATGTCCAGCTAATTTTTGTATTTTTAATAGAGATGGGGTTTCACCATGTTGTCCAGGCTGATCTTGAACTTCTGAGCTCAAGTAATCTGCCTGCCTCAGTCTCCTGAAGTGCGGGGATTACAGGCGTGAGCCACCACACTGGGCCTATTTTTTTTTAAATAAAAAATAAAAGGCAAACCATTATCAGTCAAAGTGGTTTTGGTTAATAATGGGTTTTAATGAATTCACATAGAGGGACAGGTGTGGTGGCTCACGCTCGTAATCCCAGCACTTTGGGAGGCTGAGGTGGGTGGATCATGAGGTCAGGAGTTCAAGACCAGCCTGGCCAAGATGGGGAAACCCTGTCTATACTAAAAATATAAAAAATTAGGGTGTGGTGGTGGGTGACTGTAATCCAACTACTCAGGAGGCTGAGGCAGAGAATTGCTTGAACCTGGGAGGTGGAGGTTGCAGTGAGCCAAGATCGCACTAGCGCACTCCAGTCTGGGCAACACAGCAAGACTCCGTCTCAAAAAAAAAAAGGAATTCACATACAAAGTGAGAGATGTGTGAACTTCATTTCCTTTTCACCTGTCACCATCGTGATTGCTAAGAAAGCATTCATGTTCCAACATCAAACTCTACTGCCAAAATAAATCATGAAGATCTGCTAATTAATACCAACACAGGGAGAGAATAAAAAGAAAATTGATAGAGAAAGATAAAGACAGTGAAAGGGAAGGAAGGCAGTTAAAGAGGAGAGGAGCTCTCTAAGGAGCAGAGGGTCACTTAATAGATTGGAGAAATGCAGGTTCTAGAAGACTTGGCACATGTTAGGTGTCCAATACATGACTTCCTGGAACCTGGACAGAGATGTTGAAAGGCATGAGCTGGTCCAAGATTCAAGCTTGACATCTGCTACCTGAGCAACTTTGGGTACATTTCTTAACCTCTCTGAGACACCCTTTTAGGGATACCATGGGATTGATAAAGAAAGGATTAAATTAATCTGTTCCCTCAATTCTAAAATGAAAGTAATCATACTACCTCATGGAGTTATTGTAATAAGTGGAATAATAAATTTTAAATGTCTGGTACACAGTAGTTTTTAAATAAATGACATTCCTCCTTTCCTTATCTCAGCAAGCCATTGTGTCCACTCGCTGTTTGATTTAGTAGTTCAACAATTCACCAGAATATCGAATTTTGTCTTCCACCTATTTTACAGACAGGAAAATTGAGGCCAAACAATTGGCTTAAAATCAGTCTCCAAGGTCAAGATCAGAATCCTGCTCACAGATTTCTACTCTTCTACATTTATATCATATTATCTAGTCATTTTCTACTTAAAAAGGAGGAATAAAAAGAAATAGTATGAAAAGAAGAGAAAAATAGCCTCAGAAAATGTATAATTCAAAAAGGTTGTTCAAAAAAAAAAAATTCCAGATAGACTAAACTAATAGTCTTCTACATTTAGAGAAAGCCTAGTAAAGAATCACTTGATTTTATTAATGTTTACAGAATAATGCTGAGTAAAAGTACAACCTAAAGTCCCCAAAGCCAAGTTAATCACAGGCATTTAGTAAAATGTCTCCATGCTTTACTATCAAATATTAATAATAACATGTTTTAAGAAGAGAACTGTCCTGAAACTAGAAACTAGCCACTCTCATGAAAAGTAGATTGCACTTGCAAACTTGAGGTACATTAACTTGCTGAAACTTAAAAGCTTAAACTTAAGTTGTAAATTAAGGAGGTTTAATAAGTGAGAAAGGTTTGCTTTAGCCACTTCACATTATGAGACAGAATGCTCATAAACCATCATAAATGAACTACAGAACTGCAAATATAGTGTCAGTAAAAAAAAACACAGGTCATTACTTCATGACACTTCTCATTATCCCAGCAGTATAGCTCTGACTTAGTTTTATTAACTTCCAATGAAAGTTCTGCCAAATTAAGCCCAAGAGTCAAACCACTCCCTGGAGAAAAATTAGGCCTTGATGAAATATTCAGTTCCTCACAATAACTCCATCACTGCAAATTAGGGAATATATTAGATTCCAAAGATATCAAAACATCAGAAAATCATGAGCCAGTATGACATGCTAAACCAATACTAGACAAATCCTAGTAATTCTCTCAATTTAATTTTCTTTGAAAAATATGATATGTAAATTGCCACTAAGATCTTAGCTTATAATATTAATCAACTGTTAAGCGAAAAATAGCATAACAAAATTTAGAAGAGCCATTAGCTCTACAGACAACAATAGGTTTAAAATTAGATCCTTGAGACCTAGGTCAATAAGTCACTCTTTCTAGCATCCTCTTCACTGGTGATATGTTTTAAGTCAGGCAACAACTATTTCAGCAAAAACATTTATTCATCAGTATATCCCTAACTAAAAACGATAATATTTATTCAGTGCCTACTGTGTGATAAGTGCTACCATTAAATATTTGCTAAGCATAATTCCATTTAATACGCATCATACCTCAAGAAGTAGCTACTACTATTACCCTTGCTTCACAGATGAAAATTACTTGTCCACTATCACAGGGCTACTCTGAGGAGCTGGAATTTGAACTCAGGTCTGTCTGCCTCTACTGACCCAGTTTTACTTTTATAAATTTATCCAAAGAAATTAATGATGGATGTAGGTAAAGATTTATATACAAAGATGTGCAGCACAGCTTTGTTTATAATAGCAAAAGACTGGAAAGTATCTAGATGTTTAGCAATGGAGAATTATTAACAAACTATTATATATCCATAAGATTCAATACCATGGAACCATTAAAAATTGTTCTTGAAGAATACTTAATAGAATAGAGAAACGTCAATTATATGTTAAGTGAAAATATCAGGATGTAAAATAATATATATGCTATGATTAAAATTATATGTTGTACCTAAGTTTATGTACATATGTGTATGCATGTGTGTGTGTATATATATATATGTATCAATTAGATCAATAGGCATATAGATACACAAAAATAAAAGGATATCTCTGGATTAGGGTTTCTCAGTCTTGACACCACCGACATTTTATGCTGGATAATTCTCTGCTATGAAGGCTATCCTGAACATTGTAGGGTGTTTATCAGACTCCCTGGCCTCTACTCACTAGATGTCAGTAGCACCCCTCTAGTTTGTGACAACCAAAAATTTCTCTAGACATTGACAGAATTGCCCCAGGGTAAGAACTCTGCTACTCTGGATGATAAGATAACACATAACATTTATTTCTTCTTCGTGCATTTCAGTATTTTTCAGCATTTCTAAAATTAATACATATGTGTTACATTTGTAATCCAGAAAAAAAAATGTTATTGTCAAAAAGCAAATTCACTAATAAGAGAAGGAATGATTCCTATTTTATAAGACAAAACTGTAGTAATGGAAAATACGTGTTATAGGAGCTTTAGAAAATCTGCTGTGATTTTTATTTCCATCAAAAATTACTTTGTAACTGCTTAAGAGAAAAAAACATAGCAGAAAAATGAGCAGAAATCTCTTCTACCTGTGTGAGGAACATCCGAGCAGTAATAGTAGAAAGGGGTGGATAAACCAGAATTGGTTTAGTTGTCTCCCCAATAGCACCCCCAGCAAGCTTTCCATTATTAGAATAGGCAGCAACTGCAAATACATATTTTTCATTGGTTTCTAAACCCTTCACTTCAAAAATGCTTTTACCGTCAGCTGGTATCTATTAAGAAAAATATATTTCAAGTTATACATGGAAAATTAAAATAACATGACTTTTTAAAGACAATTAAGTAAACCTTCTATTTAAAAAAAAAAAACAACTTTTCCCTTAGTCACTGTTGGATTTTAGTTATGATTCAAGTGGAAATTAGAGAGATTCACCAAAACAATGAATTCATCAAAAAATTTAATTATCATAAGGCTTCAGTAAGATCTCCTGACACTGAATTTGACGTACCGCATCTCCTGAATTTGGGAGATGATTATTGTTTAGCCGTACTTTTCCATAACTTCCTTCTGCTTTGCAACCCAAAATGCAGTACCAAGAGACCTGCAGAGGAGAGAAATGACCCTGTTTAAAAGGCATTCTTTTATATCAATGTAGCAAAAAAAAAAAAAAAAAAAACTTTTCTAAATAAAAATCTAACTATTCAAGTTTTAAAACATAAAATTGAAGTTTACAAATATACTGAAGTTTAATTTTTAAAAAGTAAAAGTAACCTTAGCTAGTTTACTGGGACAATTAAGACTAAAATAATATTTACTATTAATTATTTTAACCACCATTAATTGAGCAGTTCCCACTGCTAATAAGAAATTTACAGAAATTTTCTAATATGTACAACTCTATGAGATGAGGTTACTATTGTCATTTTGCTTCACAGGAAATGGAGATGCAGAGATGTTAAATAAATTTGCCCAACATCAGACAGATACTGGCTGGGGTTGACTCCCAAAATGACTTAGTCTTCGTGGGGAACAAAAGGCCAACACTCAAATGATTTTCATATTTTATATGATAATGTGTGACACAAAAAGCGAGTGGCAAGAGAAGCAAGACATTAAAATCTAATATTTTAAATAAAATGTAAAAATACATATGAAAAAGCCTGGAAGAAAACACCCTAAATAAGAACAGCAGTAGGATCTGGATGATAAAATGGTAAGATGACAAGTAGTTAATGGGTCAATTTTTTTCTCCAATTTATACACTTTCTGAAACATTATATGTAGTTTAATGTTATATTTTGAATATAAAAATTAGACATAAATCAAACACAAAATGTAAATCCCAAAGAAACAACTAAACTTAATCTTGAGTAAATGGTTAGACAATGATCCTTTTGCCAAGGTGTCAAGATAATGAAGATTCATTATTGAAATGAACTATTCTCCCTATAGAGAAAAGGGGAGGTAAGTGACACCTGAGGGTGTAGTATTATGAACAAGCCATACTGCTGGGGTTGTAAGGGTCATGGCTGTGTCATTACCTTCTTCCCAGAGGCAACTCCTAAACGACAAGGCAACCTAGAAAGAAGGGAAAATGCCGTTGTCTCTAAGAAGCAACTACCTCTTGCAGCTTGTGCCTGCTACTCCTTCCTCCAGGTCAATAGAAAAATACTAACGATGTCCAATTGACACAAGTGATTCTCAACCCTGACTGTGCTCCAGAATCACTTCTTTGAAATACAAGTTTGGGCAGAATCAACCATTTTCTTAAATTACAGATACCCAAGCCTGTCTAGCTTCAATGTATTAGAATGTCTGGTGAAAATGTCTGAATCTTTGTATTTCCAAAGAGTATTTATCAAATGATTGTGATATGCGCAACTGATTAAAAAGCACTAGTCAAAGGCAGAACAGGAAAAAGAACACAGAAGGAACCTGGAAGCTGGAGGGCAGGGCTAAAAAAAAAAATCAGATGAATCTCAGAAAAAAATATGCAAAACTAACTTCCTTTGATTTCTCATGCAAAAAGATATCATTTTCAAAGAAGAAAAACAGCAGAAAGACTATGTGCTATGACTTACATCATTATTGCTCCAAGTTCTATTATATAAACCAGAACTTGGAGGATAAAATTCTCTCTAAAAGCATTTTTACAAGCCAACTTTATATTTTTATTTTGTTCCACAGATGAAGACATCTTATTTGTGTAACTCTAAGAAATAATCTGTAATTAGACTCTACATAAGGGTAGAGTTATCATGAACAAATCAGCACTAACTTTAGAAGAGTTTATACGTAACGTAAATAACATTAGAATTTTCAACTATAAAAGTAGACTTTAATGAAATGAATGCCTCAACAAGAGATTTTGAGAAAACAAAAGATGGCTGAAGCCTCAAACCAGAAAACTTATTTAAGCCCATAGCACCATCTAGTGCTGAGAAGGTAACAGATGGTAATAATTTCCTGGAATTCTTAATATGCATAATACATACAAACTTCTATAATGTGCTCATTGATGAGTCTTAAAACTATAGGCCAAACATGAGACTCTTCTATCTTCCTATTTCCAAGCATTATGATATAAAATAATCACTAAATTGAAGTACATAAAGAATAAAATTTTGGTTAAAGAAACCCAAATATTTGAATAAAAGCAAACAAAAACACTTGGTAAATCACATGATCTTAATTCTGTACTAATTTTCCAAAATCAATGAAGCTCTATTCTTAAACAGATTTCAAAAATCCAAAGTTTAACTTTAAAAGCACTAGCAATAGCAATAATGCATTTATCATAGAATGGTTAGGTACAAAATGAATGTCACTTCTATTCCCCTACTCTCCCAATTATAAAGCATTATGAAGGTTGTTATCAGTTGTCACTGATGTCCATTTGCCATTTGTCTGAAGCTCCTCAAAGAATGCAAGCACATTTAAATGCTCATTGGACAGATCCAAAAAAAAAAAATCACCAATAATGTAATCACAGTCTATCACTTCATTACTTTTTTTTTTTTTTTTTTTAGACAGAGTCTCACTCTATCACCCGGGCTGGAGTACAGTGTGATCTCAGCTCACTCCAACCTCTGCCTCCCAGGTTCCACAATTCTCCTGCCTCAGCCTCCTAAGTAGCTGGGGTCACAGATGCCCACCACAATGCCTGGCTAATTTTTTGTATTTTTAGTAGAGACAGGGTTTCACCATGTTGGCCAAGATGGACTCAAACCCCTGACCTCAGGTAATCCACCTGCCTCATCTTCCCAAAGTACTGGGATTACAAGTTTTTTAATAAGCTTTACTACTTATGTTTAATATAAGAAGTGGAAAGATATCAGTTAATAAGCCAAAAATATGATACATTGTCTCATTTAATCTTCAAAGTAAATACACTTTCCAAATTAAAAAACAAAACAACTCAGAAAATGTATCTAACTTTTCTAAGGCCAGACTTCCAGGAAAGGTTAGAGCTAGAATTATAAACCTAAATCTGACTCCAAAGCCAAGTTGACATAACTTCAAGCAGAACATCCTAAAGAGAATCAAAGATAAAACTTTATTTTTATATAACATCAAAGAGCATGTTGTTGATAATCTTAAAGAGGAAAGTGTAGTTTGTAAAATACAAATTAGGTAGAACCAAATTCTTGTGAAGAAACTTAATTTCGTAGTCATATATAGGCCAAGTTCTGCGGCATCAGATATGGGAGAAAAAGCTCACCCTCCAATAAACACACAAAGATATACGGTTTATAATATGGTTGGAGTTGTCCTATGTTTGCATTGAAAGAATCTACATTTAATTGGAAAGACTTTGGACAGAACCTCTAGACTCATCACCTCTGAATTTCCACACTCTGCTGCTTCATATCTGTCGCTGTCTCTGAAAGCAACTTCCACCCTCTTCAAATGTCTGATTCCACTATAAGTGAGACTTCCAACTTGAGCATATGAGGATGTCAGCATATGGTATGTCATGGTGACAAGGATACTTACAAGGAGGTGCTTCTCTACTGTTTCTTCTCACAGTATAGCTGGGCATAGCAATGCTATACAATACATATCATAAATATAACAGCAGCAGGGGCAACATGTAATGAAGAAACTAAGTATAAATAAGACTTGCAATATTAATCCAGTGTCCAGTGCTTACAAATAAGACTATCCAGTTCCTAAAAGCAATCAAAGTATGAACCATGGTAGGAGTAAAAGTACTTATGTTGCTTTGCATGAGGCAAAACTCATACTGGACACCATACCTTAACCTCTGAAGTAAATGGAGCAGGTTTGAGTGTCACAGAACAATGAGTTCGAGACAGCAGGATAGGTGGAGGAGGGACTCTGCTTTTCTTTCTTTTTGAACTTTCCAAATATTTCTGATAGGAATACAGGGCATTTTGTTCAGCTTCAATCCTCTCAATTAAAGAATATGCTTCCTATAATGAAATATGAAAATAGAAAAATACATGTCAAGAGCTTGAACTCTATTTATGTTTATAGAATTCTATAATTCAATATTATCTTTTTATATGTATTTTTTGAGCCTCAGACGCTCAAATATATACATGTATATTTCAACTATTTAATGATTTTGCAAAAGTGAAAGATACCTACTAAATAAGGTTAATCATGATCACCAATAGCATCACATTTATCTATCTTATATCTTTATCATTATTATACATGAATATGAGATATTATATTTTGAATTGAACATTCTAAGTATCTACCATCATATTTCATTGTCCTTAAAAGTTTATAACACCATCATCTTCATTTATGCTGATGAATTATACATCTACCCTAATTCAGCTGAAGTGTGACTCAAATATTGGTATATGTGGTTTATGAAATAAGTATTATTGAGAGTTTCTATCAGCAAGAAGAAATAAAATAGAAAAAATACATTCTATGAAACTGACAGAAAGGTAACCACTTTGTTAAAAGGTTATACATAGAGAGATAACACATAAAACAAAGGAGAAATATAAAAATCTGACCTAACATTTCAAAAGCAGGGCTAAATATGTAAGCAATAATACATGTAAATGGGTTACACTTTCTTTTAAATTAAATTAAAAGGCAAAGACTCTCTGAGTTCTAAGTAAAAACACATGTAAAGATTAAAATTAAGTGAAAGAAAAATCATTTCAACAAATGGTGCTGTGACAATCAAACACTACATGCAAAAGAATAAAGCTGGACTCCTATTTCATACCATAGACAAATATTAACTTAAAATGAATAATACATTCAAATGTAAGAGCTAAGATTATAGAACTCTTAGAAGAAAATATATGACCAAATCTTTGTGACCTCGAGTTAGGTAGTGGTGTTTGGAAGATTTAATGCAATGATGCATTTAAAATGCTTAGTTTTTGGAACAGAGTAAGCAGTCAATAAATGTTAGACATTATAATTACGATTACTACTACTATTCTTTCTTTCACTTTAAGCACTCTGGAACATTCTGTTTTGTCATATCAGGACTATTATTATTATTATTACTCTTTCACCTTAAGTGTTCTGGAACACAAAAAGCACAATGACAAAAGGAAAAGTAGATATGTTGGACTTTATTAGAATCAAAAACTTTTGTGTTTCAAAGGATACCATTAAGAAAGTGAAAAGACAGCCTACAGAATGGGAGAAAATGTTTTCAAAATCAAATATCTGATAAAAGACTTGCATTCAGCACTTATATGCACTGTTATAACTGAGAATTGTTATAACTCAATAATAAAAAGGCAAATAACCCCTTTTAAATATGGGCAAATAATTTGAATAGACATTTCTCCAGAAAAGACACAAATAGCCAGTAAGCACATGAAAAGATGTTCAACATCATTAGTCATCAGCAAATTAACTCAAAAAGCAAGAAACCTAAACACAGAAACAATAATGGAAGAAACTGGAAACATCCAAAAATTATTTCATGTAACAGTGTCAGGCTCAAATGAGTTCATAAATAAAACATTTTAATTCCAAAGAACTGATCATTCCTATGCCATTTTAAATGTTTCCAAATACAGAGAGGAACAGATATCTTCTCAAATAATTTTATAAAACTATTATAACTTTGATAACGGTCTGAAAAATGGCTACACATAAAAACACAGAGCAGTTGTTTTACAGAACAGGACTCCCTGGAAGGGCAACAAAAAATGTGAGAGTCTTGATGAGGAAGAAGACAGAGCCATAAAATATAAGGGGATTTCCCTAAGAGGTTGTGGAAAAACTTTGAGGGGAGAAAGTCCTACTAGAACAGAAAGGAGATTAAAAGCTATTATATTTCGAACATTCAATATTAATGTGTCTTCACTTGCATCACAGGCTGTAGAGACCAAGGTATTTCAGATTACATAAGAACAGATAAAATCAGCCTAAGGAAAAATTACGCAATACAAGGAAAGGAGACCAATGCCCCACCACCCTTGGAAATTTGGAGACATATCCTTCCTCAGCATTATGTTTAGAGCCTGTAAAATATACCAGCAGCACTGGCCCACTGATCCTGCTATTCGAGCTAACTGCCTTTGTCCCCCATCTCAACTGACTAGCCAACCTCTCTGGGCTCCAAATTTGATCTTAAAATTTGCCTTGGTAGTTTCTGCTTCAGTGAACCACTTGGACACTTGGACACTAGCACCTTCTGACTTAATTCTTGCATCTTCTTTTTTTACAGATATATTTGTAAGAATTACAAATACTTTTCTTATATTTTATAGATATAAATGCAAACATCCTAAATAAAATACATAGAATACTACTACATTTATTCTAACACTATATCAATGAATACACTGCATCTTCTTTCTGCAAATCAATGAATCCAACTGGGGTAAAACACATTACATTCTGCCATGGCTATAACATAGACATTTCTCAACTTGGCTGTTGATCAGCATCACCTATGGAGTTTATTGAAAACTGAGAATGGTCCATTTCTACCCCAAAATAAAAATCTCCAGGAGTGGGGCTTGAACATCTGTACTATTTACAAACACCAAGGATAATTCCAAAGTAGAGGAAGAATTGGGAACTACTGATTCAGGTGAGTAAATCTCCTTTTCCCTCTCGCCTTTCTCCCAGTCTCTCCCTAGTCTTATCAACCTCCAGTCTTGTACTTCTTCAATGGTTCCTCTAATAGTTGCCAGATGAAGTGCAAACTTTTCCAAAGCCCTTTTCACTTTGATCATGACTACATTTTCTAGACTTATCCCACTTTCTTCTCTTTCCCTCTCTCATACCTAACTCTCTGTCCAACCTAACCTCTGAAACCATTAAAAAAAAAATCACTCATTTCCTAAAATGCTGTTATTTCATGCCTCAGAATTACCCATGCAATTCTCTCTTCCTGGAGCATCTTATATCCTCTTTGCTTTAAGACCCACACAAATATCACCTCTTCTAACATCTTTTAAGAGAGCCCAGGTATTTAAATAAGTCATTTCTTTCATTTTATAGTATCTTTATTTTAGCAGGTATTACACAATATGCTACCTCTGTACTTGACTGTCCACACCCTCTCAATATTGAGTGTCTTGGCAGGAAGAACAGTGTTTTGTTTATCTCTTTAAGTTCAATCAATGTGTTTGGAATATAAGACATATGAAATGATGAAAAAGAAGGGTGATCTTTATTATATCTTTTAAGATAGCATGTTTAAAATGTTCTCCTTGGCTCTTGATCAATTTTACTTTAGATCCCTAACTCAGATCCCATGGCCCCATTTGAAATAGGTTAACAGAAGTATTAAAGTTTTAAGTGAATGGCAACAAAGGAAAAGTTTATTTTAAAAAAGCCCTTGATTTAGGTTAATCAGATAAATTTCATAACATAATTCAAGGCAAGCCCTGATGCTAGTTAACTGGAATCCTAATTTAAGTAAGCCAATTTATTGAGCTGCTAATAAGATTCTTAAGTAAGCCAATTTATTGAGCTGCTAATAAGATTCTGTTTATGAAAAAGTGCCTGGGGCTTTTAAGGGGTTTTTCAACTAGAAAAAAAGAAATAACATCAGAAAATCCCTCAAAACATCAAGAAGGAAAAGTTCCCATGAAACCAATTCTACTTAGTCATGAGAAAGTATTACCAATATGGACCTGAATGTTGTCTATAATAGCAATGCTCTAGAATACTAAACTGTTAAAATTGCAAAACATAGACAAACCATTCTCTAATCAGAGATCAAGAAGTAGGCTTTCCCATCTACAAGAGATCTTCATGTTTCTGTCACCAAAAGACTCCTTACCTAGCGATAGCTAAAAAGCTGGGAAGTCTGGGGAAAAACTTAGAATTGAAGTAGGACTATGGAGTCAAACTCTTGGATTGAATCACAGCTCCTCCACTTGGTACCTACATATAATTCCGCAAGATCTTCAACCTCAAAAAGCCAGTGTTATCATGCGGAAAGATCTTCTATGTTTTCTTCCAGATGTTTTAAGGCTTCATGGTTTGCATTCAAGATTACGATCTATTTTGAGTAATATTTTGTATATGGCATGAGGCATGAGTTATTTTCCATATGGATGTCAAATTATTCAAGCATCATTTTCTCAATAAGACTACTCTTCCCCCTCATTGAATTACCTTGGTACATTTATTGAAAGTCCATATATATATATATATATATATATATATATGTTTATCTCAAAATTCCATTCAGTTTTACAGCTCAATATGTTTTTCCATTGTCTTATTACTGTAGCTTTATGGCAAGTTTTGAAATCAGGTAATGTGGGTTTCCAAACTCTGTTTACTCTTTTTCAAAAATGTTGGCTAGTTTAGGTCTTTTGATTTTCCACATCAATAGATGAGCTTGTCAATTTCCAGAAAAAAAGACTTTTAATTAGGATTATACTAACATACATAAATCTATAGACCAACTGGAGAGGAATTGACATATTAACAATTTTCAGTTTTCTAACATGTGAATATGGTGTATTTCTCCAATTATTTAGATCTTCTTCAATTTTTATCAGCAATGTTTTATTTTTACAAACAGTTTGTGTCTCACACATGTTTTGCTAGCTCTCTTCCTATATATTTCCTGGTTTAGTGCTATTATAAATGGCATACATTTTAAATTTCTGATTGTTTATTGCTATTACATAGAAAAACAATAGATTTTTATATTTTTGTTGGTATTTTGGATTATTTGTGTTTATATATGGATTAAATATGCAAATAAAGACTTTTTTATTTCCAAAAAAAGTAGGCTTTCCTTGACATATCAATAAAAAATAACTATATCATTACATCTTGCATTTTCTAGCACAGTACCTAGCAAATTATAAAGGTTTAGAAACTTTGAAAGAAGATATGAGCCTTTACCTATCACAGGGACTCAGCCAAGGAATCTCAATGGAAAGGGGATTTGCACACCAACTCACAATGAAAATAAATTCTAAGTGTTCTTTCAGTAGTGGTTTGC